GTGATGGAGCCCCCGTCCACTAGCAAGCTGTGTGGCTCTGTCTGCGGGTTTCTTCCCTCCTTCTCAGAAGTGCTTTGTAGTCTTCACTAGCAGGCACACTTGTCATAAATGCATCTCTAAGCCTTTTATGATCTTGGTGTAGCCAATAGCCTTTAGGTGTTTTACTTTCCAATTACGCGTTGGTGACACTTGTAAATACGGGTGGATTTTGTGTATTGACGTGGTACTTGGGACCTTGCTGTACTCAGTAGCTCTACGCACGACTTCTAGAAGATGCCCGTGTGTGTGTGTGTGTGTGTGTAGATGCTTTAGGATTTCTTACCTGAACATCCCGGCGTGACTAAGGACAGTCAGGTCTTCGGTGTTCTGCCCCCTCACTGCCGTTCATTGCCTCGGGCCCCGGGCGCACTGGTGGGCGGAAGTGCCGAGGGTTTCCCATCTCACCTGGCGGTGCTGGTTTAGCATCAGGTGAGACGTCAGCTGCAGGCTGTCTCCACGCAGGGCCCCGTGAGACAGAGGGTCCACTCTTCCGTTTCCTGGGCTTCGAGTGAGACCTGTCCCCTCTGGGACTCCCACTGTGGAGAGGCAGAAGGGTGGGCGCTTCGTCCTGCTGTGCCTCGGGGGCCGGGTCAGCTCAGGATGACCAGAGAGCAGCCGTGGGGCCGAATGCCCGGGAGAGGCCCTCTGCGTGCGCCACCGCTGGGGCCTCCAAGGCCCCACCTGCTCACACCTCTCCCTGGAGGGGAGATTTCAACCTGTGACTCTGGGGGCCGGACCTTCGAACCGCCTCAGGGCCACCTGGCAGACTCCTCGCCCACGCGCATCACAGGCGGCGGGCTGGGCCTGGCCTCAGGGGGACTCTGCTGCTTCTGATTCTGCTCTGTTTCCCCATTTTGCACGGTGCACCGCGGCCACGTTGTCGGAAGGGGGACCAAGGCTGGAATCCACCACGTGACTGGGTATCAGTTTCCCATCTGCCCCTTCAGACTCAACAGAGAAGTGGGTGGGGACTGTACCGGAGCTGAGTTAGGTGCGCATTCCTGGAGCCATGATGGACGTCTGGCGACCGCTCATTCCGGAGCTTGGGGAAGGTCTGGCCCAGGGCCGTGGAGGAATCGTCTGCTTTGGCCCGGCCAAGGCAGCCGCAGGCAGGACTCGGGGCTCAGGAAGCTGGAGCCGGCTGATCCCTAAGCCTAAGGTGTTGTAAATACGCAAATGGCCCTGGGCAGAGAAAAGGGGCCCCACCCAGTGGTTAAGAGCTGTTAGGGTAAAGTGCCTGTAATGATTTCTGAAGAACTCTGGAGATGCTGGCTGCTCTTGGATCGTAACTTCATGCAGGCCTTAAGTCAGGAAGGCACGGTGTTCCAGGGCTCCCTTCACACCACCCAGGACGGCCGCAGCGGGGCCCCCGCCCACACCCGAGAGTCAGGAAGGCACGGTGTTCCGGGGGCTCCCTTCACACCACCCAGGATGGCTGCAGCAGGGCCCCCGCCCACCCCCGAGAGTCAGGAAGGCACGGTGTTCCGGGGGCTCCCTTCACACCACCCAGGACGGCCGCAGGGGGGCCCCTGCCCACACCCGAGAGTCAGGAAGGCACGATGTTCCAGGGGGCTCCCTTCACACCACCCAGGACGGCCGCAGCGGGGCCCCCGCCCACACCCGAGAGTCAGGAAGGCACGGTGTTCTGGGGGCTCCCTTCACACCACCCAGGATGGCCGCAGCAGGGCCCCCGCCCACCCCCGAGAGTCAGGAAGGCACGGTGTTCTGGGGGCTCCCTTCACACCCACCCAGGACGGCCGCAGCGGGGCCCCCGCCCATACCCGAGAGTCAGGAAGGCACGGTGTTCCGGGGGCTCCCTTCACACCCACCCAGGACGGCCACAGTGGGGCCCCCGCCCATACCCCGAAAGCAGCCCCAGAGCTGTGTTGATGAGCTTGGGACCCGGAGCCTCGGCGAGCCCAGGGGACCTGCGAAGCCTTCAGGGAAGCAGGCAGCCAGGGTGTGGCCAGGGCCGCTGGCGCCGGGGGTCGACTCTGTGGCCTTAGCCTGGGGAGGGTGGACAGGGGGTCTGGGGGACAGGCGCACCTGTTGGAAGGCGGGGAGCTTCGCAGCTCAGGAGACAGCCTGTGGGTGTGGGGAACCTGAGGGTGACTGCGGGGAGTGGCTCTGCTGCCGCTCCCTGAGAGCCCTCCGGCCTCTTCCTTGTCCTCTCCCGCAGGCAGAGGCCGGGGGCAGTGTGGGCTCCAAGCCTCAGTCCCTCGCTGCTTTGCTAAGTTACTCTCAGATCCCAGAGCTAAGTTTTCTCCTGCAGCAGCCATCCTCTTGCAGTCAGGCAGCAGCGGAACTGACGGTGCCACACCTCCCTGGGAGGCGCCCAGGGCCCCCACGTCCTCCGGGCGCTGCTGCCGGGCTGGGCGCCCCCGCCTCCCTGGCCCCTTACTCCTGCCAGTTGCTCTGGGCCTACGCCCGGTGCCCTGCTGTGACTTATGGCGCAGGGCAGGGCCCTCCGGCTGTGCTGCTGTCCGTGGGCCACATGAAGTCATCCACTTCAGTGTCAGCCTGCTGTGCTGACAGCGGATTTCAGCTCCCTTAGTGGTTGCCTGAGCAGGGCCAGACCTGATGGCTGGCTGTCCCCCACCCCAGAGCCAGGTCTCCCTGGTGTGCCCCAACGCGTCCACCAGGCCTGTCCACCGCGCTCCCCCGAGGTTGTGTCCCAGGGGCCTCTCGGTGACCGAGGCTTCTGAGCTGTGGGTCGGCGACCCCTTCTCTGGCACTGTGCCCGTTCCGCCGGGTCTGCCGTGGCACCCAGGCCCTCCAGAGAGTGCAGGAGTCGAGGTCTTCACTCCTTGCAGTCAGGGTCCGTCAGCACCCCCAGGAGGGGAGGGACCTGCACGGACCTGTGTCGTGTCTCCCCTACTGCTCCCACCAGGCGTCACTGGCTCGTTTGAGGGTCTCCCACCTTCGTGCCGGCCCTGGCTAGCAGGAAATGCAGCTGCGTTTTCCCAGTGAGCTTTCAGTGCCTATTACCTAAGCCCCTCTGAGCCGCCGCGCTGCCTCCCCGCGCACCCAGCAGAGTGCCAGTGGCTGAGCCAATCATCTTGCTTTGCCTGCAGTGAGCCTGCAGATACGACAGCGTTCTCGAGAGAGGGACGTTTGGGAATGTTCCAGAACTACCTCTATGGCTACAGCATGTCCTTGGACGGAGCGTGAGCAGCGTTCTGGGCCAGATAATCACACCGTAAATTCTGCACACTGATGACATTTCTGAAAAAGTGCCGAGTGCACACGGCAGGAAGCAAGGCGTGTCCCGGGCGCCTGCGGCCAGAGCGGCTCCGCGCGGCTGCCGCTGGAGCTCCTGGGCAGCCGTGGGCAGCGGGAGCTGGCGCTCGCCCGGCCGTCGCCCCTTAGTCATGCACTGACCACTGCCGCCTCCACCTAGCAACGGCCGGTTGCCTTGGAAACGTGCAGCTCAGTGCTGTCGTCCTCGGTCTCTTCCCAGGGTCTAGCGTGACGCGGTGGTTAGCTCAGAGAGGGTACAAGTTGTTGTCACCTCTTATTCCACACCGGTCTCCCCGGGGCAGTGGGGACAGAGGGCTCCTGCAGGGACCCCTGTACTCAGGGGTGGGCTCCACTTTGTGCATTAGCTGAGCACACGTGCAGAGCTCGTAAGAAGCAACCAACAGGAGATGGCCATGCCGGGCCGGTGTCTTCCCTCTCTCGGCCACGGAGCCGACCTCGAGCCTCTGCCGGGAGATGTGAGGGCCTCGCGGGTCCCGAGATGACCCCTCCACACGCTGGGCGGCACAGGAGTTATTTGCCTTTTGAAACCTACCAGCTGGCCTGTGTGGTGAAGCTGGTTAAATGGCCGTCCGTGACGCCAGCATCCAATGCCTGGGCTGGTGTGAGTCCCGGCTGTTCCGCTTCTGGTCCAGCTCCCTGCTGTTGTGCCTGGGAAGGCAGTGGAAAGTGGCCGCCGTGCCTGGGCCCCTGCCGCCACGTGGGAGAGCCGGCTGGAGCTCCGGGCTCCTGGCAGTTGCAGCAGGTGGATGATCTCGTTCTAGCTCCTCCTCTCTCTCTGGACTCTGCCTTCAAATACATAACATACCATTGTTTTAAAATAACAGAGAAGAGCCCCAGTAACAGCGTTTGGTCTCACCAGGCTGCGCGTGTCACTGGACCTGAGGAGAGAGGGTCCCGAGGTTGTGGCCTGGATGTCACTGCTGTGGCCACGATGATCCAGGACTGCTGACCCGGGCTGTGTGGCCAGTGGGTGTGTGCACAGGGGGAGGGACGTGGTCAGGCGGCTCGCACAGACCGGTGACTGGGTTCACCGTCATGGAGAGTGGCCTTACTCACCGTGATGCAGGGGCAAGGGTTGCTAAAGCCCAGCTTTGTGTGAGCGTGCTCCCAGCCCTCAGAGATGGGGGTGAGCGGCCCTCCCCCAGCCCTCAGAGACAGGGTGGGCGGTCCTCCCCCAGCCCTCTGAGACGGGGGTGGGCGGCCCTCCCCCAGCCCTCTGAGACGGGGCTGGATGGCCCTCCCCCAGCCCTCAGAGACGGGGGTAGGTGGCCCTCCCCCAGCCCTCAGAGACGGGGGTAGGTGGCCCTCCCCTAGCCTTCTGAGACGGGGCTGGATGGCCCTCCCCCAGCCCTCTGAGACGGGGGTGGGTGGCCCTCCCCTAGCCTTCTGAGACGGGGCTGGATGGCCCTCCCCTAGCCCCAATGGCCCACGCTGAGGGCACCCGACTCCTTCATGGGCCCTGTTCCTGCTGTGGCACCAGGGAGTGGTGTGGGCGTCAGGTCCACTTCTGTCCTGTGCCCTGTGTGGGGAGAGTCCCGTCTGCTCTGTGGACACTGGACAGTTCCGTGGCCTCCAGGGCTGGGGACCCAGTGCCCCGTGTAGCTCGCCTCTTCCCACAGTCTGTCCTTTCCAGCCGGCTGAGTGCCGGGACGGCCGCCTGGGCTTCCCATTCACCTGCCACTGTCCCCTTCGTCCCGCAGTGTCGTCCTGTGACCAGGAGCACCAGTCGGCCATCGAGGAAGCCAAGCAGCCCAAGAATGACAACGTGGTGATCCCCGAGTGTGCCCACGGCGGCCTCTACAAGCCGGTGCAGTGCCACCCGTCCACCGGCTACTGCTGGTGCGTGCTGGTGGACACGGGGCGCCCCATTCCTGGCACGTCCACCAGGTAAGGCCCGTGTGTGGGGACCCTGGCCCAGTGCACACACAGGTTCCTCAGCTGGGAAGGGCCTCCCGCGCCCACCCCGTGAGACCGTGCCAGTGCGAGCCACGGCCCCAGTTCTCTGGGCCCCAGTAGCTGGTGAAAAGCAGTGACCCCGGCCGTCAGACACCAGAGGACACCTTGCTCCCAGGGCAGCAGGGATGGCTGAGGCCGTGCCCGCGGTGAGGCCGCTCCCCACCGTGCCCCCTGCCGCGGTGCTCACGGACACCTCGCTGTGCTGCTGGGCTCAGCCAGGGCAGCTGGAAACCCCTGAGCCCAGAGCAGCTGTCTCCGAGCAGATGCGAGGCGGCCCACGGCGCGAGCTGGCTCAGGGCGGCAGCCTGGGTTCCCCTCCTGCTCCGTGTGTGTGAGCAAAGCCAGCTGCGCCTCCAGGGCCCCGAGGTAGAGCCGTCTGCTCCTAGACAGATGCAGGGGGGGCTGTGTGTGCAGGGAGCCCAGGGAGCACTGCCCCCGCCGCCCACCCACTCGTCTGCCAGGGGCCCTGTGACCAAAGCCAGCCCCACACGCCGTCGCCTCCCCCTGCCTCCTGTGACCAAAGCCAGCCCCACACGCCGTGGCCTCCCCCTGCCTCCTGTGACCAAAGCCAGCCCCACACGCCGTCGCCTCCCCCTGCCTCCCCCCCAGCCTGGCTGCACTGGAGGAGCCCTGGTCAGAACAGGTCCTGGGGCGGGCTCCTGGGTGCAGGTCCCACAGGGCTGTCATGGGGACTACTCGGACAAGCGTGCCCCTCGTGGCTATACGAGAACGAGGCTTCCCGAGGTTTGGGGGGCAGGGGCGTTGGAGCACTCCGGCAGGTTGCGTGGGATCTCCACCCTTGGCTCGTGGCAGCCGCGGCCCTGTCCTTCTGGGGCCCTGACCTGGAGGTGTAGCCCCTGCAGACGGGCCCATGACCCCGCCCTTCCCCGGGCGGAACCGGAGCCGCCAGAGCTGAGCTGGCAGAGGTGAGGTCAGCTTCTCGGCCGAGATCCTGCACGAGCCTGTGCGCCGTGTGAGGCCGCGTCTGCCCCTCACCGTCACTCCTGGCCCTGTGCTCCCACCACCACCCCTCCCTCCCTCTCCGCGCGTGCCAGGCTTTCCCATACTTTGTCACAGAAGGAGAGGGTCTAGTTCTTGCTCCCCCGAGGACACCTGCAGGGGGCGTAATTCCCCCTCTGGAGTTTCAGGCAAGGAACGGAATGGAGCCACCGGGCGAGGACGCGTGCCGTGTCTGCATGGTTTCATCCATCACTCGTTCAGCACGGACGCTGATGCCAGCAACGGCCAGACGCGCGTGCGGGGGCCAGGACTGAGCAGTGCCCAAGGCAGACGCGCCCAGTCGTCCGGGCTCGTGTCTGTGTGGGGACGCCAGACAGGGTCCTCCTGCTTCTGCACAGCCCCAGCGGGGCGGGGCGGCCCGGTGCTGCCGGCAGCTCACGCGCAGTGGCCACAGAGCCTCTTTAATCTCTGCTCCCCCGTCCTAGCTTCCGGCTGGTTCCGAGCATCGCGCGTCGCCATGGCGACTCCTGGACCTTGACAGAAGAGAACTTTCTCTTTCTGGTGGCACAGGAGCCCAGGAGAGCTCCCCCCCCCCCATCTAATTGGCGAGGATTTCCTCACGCCCCCAGACCCAGGCTGTGGCTGAGCTGTGGGGAGGGGCCAGGCTGGTGCCGTTTCTTCATTCAGCACCCGGGACTGGTGTCCTAGGCGCCCATGGCCACACAGAGCAGGTCCACGTTTTCTTAGAGATGGAGGAGGGAGGGCCTCTGCTGTGCCTGTCACTCACCCAAATCCCTGAATAGGCAATGGCACAAACCAGCTGACCAAGAGCAGGTGCAGTGGTCCCAGCCCGGCGGCCCAGGCGGGGCAAGGGTGCACAGCCCCCCCGGGGGGGTGAGATGGTGCTTAACTAGGGGAGGGCTCGGCACCCCGGGGGGGCTGGGACACCAGTCGGACTTCCCCACAGTTCGCTGCTCAGTGTCGGGTGGGGCCAGGAAGCAGCCGAGAAGCCGGAACGCTGAGACACTTGCAGCTTCCAGAGCGAGAGCTGGGCTGGCGCGAGCGGCCTCTGGGTGACGCGTGGCCGCAGAACTCTGCCCTCCTGAGACTCGGCCGGCGCCTGGGGCGGGAGCTGGAGCGGCCCAGCCCACGGCCCTCATCCCTGACCCTCACACCCCTCCCTGCTCTGTCCCGGGGTGGAGGGGCAGAGTGCCCAGGAGCCGCAGGTCAGGTCGCAGAGGGCGCACTGGGCGACACGGAGGGACGCCTTGCCACGCGCTGGGACCCCGGCCAGCGTCTTCTGACGACCAGAAAACGCGCTTGCTGCCTTAGGTCTCCACGACGGCGACATGGGAGCAGGTCCTGACGCTGTCTCGGGGGCGCAGACGCCTGCTGCCGGCTGGGCCGGGCGTGCGTGAGACAGGAAGGGCTCCTGTCTCAGGGATGTAACACTGCTGTCTTCTCTTCCCTCCCTGCAGGTACGAGCAGCCGAAATGCGACAACACGGCCAGGGCGCACCCGGCCAAGGCCAAGGACGTGTACAGGGGCCGGCAGCTGCAAGGTGAGTGGGCGCTGCCGCTCCACTGGGCTCTCCGGCGGGGTGGAGGTGAGCAGGCGCCTACCTGGCTCCCCCTTCCGGGGGCTTGCGGACCCCTGATCCTCCAGCACTCGAGTCCCAGCAGACTTGAGGGGCCCACAGGAGGAGCACGTGGTGCCTTTCCCAGGGCCATGTCCCCGGGGAATCCCGGGGTCAGAGTAGCCGCTGTGTGCGAGGTCAAACGTGGGAAACAAAAGCAGTGCGGCGCCGCAACCCGAATGTCGCTGCAGCAGAGTGCCTAACTGCTTCCAGAAGGTTCTATCTACTCCACCTGAGAAAGCAGTGACTCCTGAGCCGATTCCTCTTGCCTTGAACCAACAGTGCAGGAAGCGGGTGTTCGGGTTTTAACAACATGTGAGCCCCACATCCGTATCGGTGAGTTTGGTTGTGGAGAACTCTGTGAGTTAAACAGAAGCAGTGTGCGTGGACAGCCTGTGGGACGCGGGGCTGCCACAGTGACCCCTGGGGTGCTGAGGCCTTGGTGTGTGAGCCCTGGGGGTCAGCTCGGCCCGCAGCCACTGGAGCCCAGGAGGCCACTGCCCACAGCCACGTCCGCCAGGGCCCGGGAGGCCACTGCCCATGGCCACATCCGCCAGGGCCCGGGAGGCCACTGCCCACAGCCACGTCCGCCAGGGCCTGGGAGGCCACTGCCCATGGCCACGTCCACCAGGGCCCGGGAGGCCACTGCCCACAGCCACGTCCACCAGGGCCCAGGAGGCCACTGCCCACGGCCACATCCGCCAGGGCCTGGGAGGCCACTGCCCACAGCCATGTCCGCCAGGGCCCGGGAGGCCACTGCCCACGGCCACGCCGCCCCTCTGATGACTTGGAGAGAACTACCCTCACTAGGAAACCAGCTCCAGGATGGAGGCCCGTTCTCGGTAGAGTGGAGACATTGATTTCCACGGGAACACGATGCTGGGCAGGCAGACGCCCAGCCACGTGCTGGCTGGCTCCTCGTCTTCTCGGAAGGCACGGTGCTCTAAGTTCCTTTTCTGAGTTTCAGTAGGAGCCGATCTTGCAAGTCAGGTGAGTCACGTGCTGACACACAGCTCACAGGAGCGTGGTCACGTGCTGACACACAGCTCACAGGAGCGTGGTCACGTGCTGACACACGGCTCACAGGAGCGTGGTCACGTGCTGACACACGGCTCACAGGAACGTGGTCACGTGCTGACACACGGCTCGCAGACGCGTGGTCACGGGACCGGGCGAGGGCTCTCCATGTCCAGCTCAAGGTGGCTGACAGAAAAGGCAACTCAGCTTGACTTGGTGCAGATTTTTGTTGTCATTGTTTTTTTAAAATACTTGTTTTATTTATTTGTAAAGAGTTAGGGAGAGAGAGAGAGAGAGAGGTATTCCATCTACTGGTTCACTCCCCAAATGTCCACGACGGCCGGAGTGAGAGGATCAGAAGCCAGGATCCAGGAGCTTCTTCTGGGTCTCCCACTTGGGCCATCTCTTACTGCTTTCCCAGCCCATTAGCAGGGAGTTGGGTTGGAAGAGTGTCGCTCCCCGTCTTCGTGGAGGAACGACACAGGACCCTGCGCTGTTCTTTTGTCTGCTCGGCCCTCCCCAGGTTTGCTGCTGGTTCTTCCCAGGTTGGCTACCGTCCCTTCCACCTCCGTGGAAGGGCGGTTCCCCCTGCCACTTTCCCCACTTCCGCGGGGGAGCGGCACACCGCCGGCCGGCTCTCTCGGGGGCTGCACAGGTGTTCCTTCAGGTAGATGTTCCTGGTGCATGTTGTCTCTCTCCTCCTTTATAGTCCTCTTCCACCAATCCCAACTCTGCTACCCACACGCCGAGTACGCTGCTCTCCTCCAATCAGGAGCAGGTCCTGCTGTCTATTGGTTGAACTGGAGGCAGCTGTGTAGAAGCTGCTTCTCCCTTCTCAGCGCCATATTGTGGGAGAGCAGATGCATAGAATAAGTCTTAATTCCAGTAACTTAGTCTAGTCCGGGTTGCTCCCCACAAAGAGGAGCAGCCGGGACTGCATCCCATATGGCACTGCATGCCAGGCCTTAACCCGCTGCGCCACAGCGCCAGCCCCCAACTTGCCTATGGAGGCCAGCATCTTACCCTGCAGTGTGCGCGGTCGGGAACCAGCCGGCTGCGTTCCAGGGTGAGAATCAGCTCCTAGCCCTGGCTCTCAGACGCTGGCTCCGTAACTCTGTGTATGGGACTGCCCTGTTGTCTTGAAAGAAGCCAAAGACTGATGGATCAGAAATCTTAGAGAAAAAGGTGTTAATGCAGACCTCTCTCTGCACTTTATCTCACCTGGCATCTCTCAAGCTGTCGCCTGTTGAGCTGTCCCGTCCCGCGCCCGAGTACCGGGCTGCTGGCTCCTGCCTCCACGCCCTGGGGGGCAGCAGTGCTGGCCCCAGCGCTTGGGTTCCTGCCGCCCTGTGGGAGGCCCCGATGGAGGCCTGGCTCCTGGTTTGGCCCTGGCCCGGTCCCAGACGTTTTCACCCCGTGACATTTGCAGGCAGCGTGTCCGTCCCGCGCTCCTGTGGGCTCCCGTCTGCCCAGCCCCCTCGTTGCCATGAGCTGGGAGTCCTGCCCGGGGTTCCCCCCTCCTTCCCATCCCAGTCTCCTTCCTGCCTCCTCCAGACTGTTCCTTGGGCCACTGCTGGTCAGTACCCGCCCTTCAGCGAGCTCTCAGGGACCCGGCTGACCTGTGTGGATTTTTGCCCGTGGATCTCCCTGCTCCATCCTGGGCCTCTCAAGCTGCCCCAATGCTCGCGCACCCCAGCACCTGACGGCTCAGAGCCCCTCCGAGGTGCGTCTTGGGGAACGAGTGGGCAGGGGACCCCACAGTGACTGCTGACCCTGGCTGCCCCCCAGGACGCAGTGCCCCCAGCAAGGGCCCCCAGGCGTTGCAGGGGAAGTGTAGTTCTTGACTCAGAAAGAAGCCCTAGAGGCACCCCAATTTCCGCATCAGCCTACAAGTTGATTGTGAGTTTCTGAGGCCGCATAGAAAACGATCCTTCCGTTGCCGTGAGCACAGCTTATGCCGTGGTCCAGCTGGGGCTCAGCCCCGTGGCGAGCGTCACAGCCCGACACACGTAATGGGTGGGTTCAGTGTCTGCCTTCCCCGAGTGGCCTGGCAGGCCCCCGGCCCCAGAGGACGCTCTGGGACCACGCGAGATGCCAGCATCTCTCCCGTTGCAGTCATCAGGGGCTGCAGTTTCTGCCTGGAGGCTCAGGCACCACAGCCCCTTGGCCTGCGTGCGGCGCGGGACAGCAGGGCACCGGTGAGCGAGCTGGCTCCTCCCGCGCCCCTGCTCTCCAGCCGCAGGCTCAGAGACGCCTCCGCAGCCTGGCGCGAGACGGGGTTTTGTGAGTGGGACATTTTGCACTGGGCACCCTCTGATGCCGGTTGTCGCTCAGGCTTGTCCTTTGGGTCTGGATTTCTGGGGTCGGTGAGAGGCAACTCTAAACGGCAGTGGTCGCGGGAGAGACCAAGCCTACAACACTGGACCCGACGACCGCATAGGAAATCAAGTTTGTAGATGAGAGCAGGCAGTGACCTTTCAGAAGAAAATGGCATTTTTTAGAAAGAAGTGGGCCCAGGGCCTGCATTGTGGCATTGTGGGTTAAGCCTCCGACTACAGCCTCCCCGTCCCGCCCTGCAAACGGTCACAGCTCCGAGGGGCGGGCGGTGCCCTCGCTCCCGTCCCACACCTCCTCGTGCTTGGCCAAGTCCTCTGTGTCCAGCTTCAAGTCCTCACGCCTGCACCTCCCACCCCCCGCTCCCGGCACGGGCTCTGCAGTCCCCGAGCTGCCGTCAGCGCCGGCGCCGAGAGTCAGAAAACACGAGGTGTGTCCGTCCATCCGGGCCTCGAGTGGGCCAGGCCCGTGCTGCGGTCAAGTGCCGAGCGGACACCTGCTCCTCCTGCCCACCTGCCCGACCCGGTCCCGCTGCTCTCCGGGTCACAACGGGGCCCAGGCCTGCGCTCACCTCGAGGGAACCTGCTCTGCAAGCACCATCCAGTATGTTAAATTTGTGGTTAAACACTTACTCCGCTATAAATAATCCCGTCTCTTTATTAGAGCAGTTTATCTAAAATAATTAACCACTCTAGAAATCTTCCAAATGTGGTATACACTTGGAAATAACGAGGCTGCTTTTTATTGGCCTACAACTCAGTTTTATTCGTTTGGGCTCTCTTCCTATCTCATCTGAATTTATCAAGACGCTGCCATAACCGGGCTGGAATCCGCCTGCCATACAAGGCTCGCTGCGTCCACCCCAGCGTGACTCAGGGCCACGGGTCTCGGCTGAGACCCCCGCCAGGCCAGGCCCGCAGCTGAGACCCCCTCCAGGCCAGGCCCGCAGCTGAGACCCCTCCAGGCCAGGCCCGCAGCTGAGACCCCCGCCAGGCCAGGCCCGGCAGGGGGTCCGCCCGCAGCCCGCAGGTGTAAGGGGTCTTCAGAAAGTTTGGAAAATGCACGTTATGGGGAAGCACACATGGATTTCAAGTTTTGGTTTTTTTTTTTTTTTCAGCAGAATGAACTTATCGTTTATTTATTTATTTATTTTGAAAGGCAGAGTTACAGAGAGAGGGTCTTTCATCTGCTGGTTCACTGTCTAAACGGCCACAATGGCCGGAGCTGGGCCAGGCCAAAGCCAGGAGCCTATTCCAGGTCTCCCATGTGGGTGCAGAGTCCAAGCACTTGGGCCATCTTCCACTGCTTTCCCAGGCCGTAGCAGAGAGCTGGATCAGAAGTGGAGCAGCTGGGACTCGAACCCATGCCCACATGGGATGCTGGCCCTGCAGGCGGCCGCTACTCCCCAGCGCTGGCCCCTGAACTGATCTTTTGTCCGTCTTCCTTGAACCTGTGGAAGTGCCCTGGTATGATCTGCACCCGCGATAGGCGCAAAGTCTGCACTTGAGCTTTTCCACGTCTGTGATCCGGGCATCGTGGGCCCAGTCCCTCCTCAAGCTGCCCCTCGTGCTCCT